TTTTTTTTGAGATGCAGTCTTGCTCTGTTGCCCAGGCTGGAGTGCAATGGCACGATCTTGGCTCACTGCAACCTCTGCCTCCTGGGTTCAGGCGATTTTCCTGCCTCAGCCTCCCAAGTAGCTGGGATTACAGGCCCCTGCCACTACACCCGGCTAACTTTTTTACTTTTAGTAGAGAAGGGGTTTCACCATGTTGGTCAGGCTGGTCTCAAACTCCTGACCTCATGATCTGCCCGCCTTGGCCTCCCAAAGTGCTGGGATTACAGGTGTCAGCCACCATGCCCGGCCTCCAAGAAGTTATTATGAGAAGCAGACATAAGTGAAGGAGAATGAATGAATATCTCTGTTGGTCACAATAAATGCAATCAGCAGAGCGGAATAAAGTCCAGCCACATGCCTGGTGCTGGCTCGGGTGCTGCTGGAACTATGATAGCAGCAGGCACTGTCTGCTCACAGGAGAAGCTGCCCAACTCACTGGGACAAGAGAGCCAACCACACAGCCCAACATTGTAGGGATCCAGACAAACAGCTAGGATTATGACACCTCGGACTTTCAGAGAGACAGAATGCTCGAGATAGGCTGGTGAGGCCCAAGGAGGCTTGGAGAGACTGGAAAAGCATGCAAAGGGTTATAGTAGGGAAAAGGAAGAAAGGGCATTTGAAGTATGAGGAGCAGGCTGAACAAAAGCCCAGGGGAAAGATGAAGAGGGAGTTTGTGGAAGTCAGGGAGAAGATGTGCTTGGTTGGACTGTGCAACTCACACAGAGAAACTAACAAGGGGGTGGAAGGGAATCATGGGACTGGATTAAGGAGGGCCATGGGGAGTTTAAATCTGACCACAAAAGCAAAGGGAAATAACCAGGGATTCCTCGGCTTTAAGAAGCTGTTTTTGTCATGCATTTTTCTTTCAAAGTAGAATGTGTCACGTGCAGAAACTGTTTTTCAGAATTTAAGATTTGTGTTTTACATTCTTTTTTTTTTTTTTTGAGATGGAATAACTTGCTCTGTCACCCAGGCTGGAGTGCAATGGCACAATCTCAGCTCACTGCAAGCTCTGCCTCCTGGGTTTAAACCATTCTCCTACCTCAGCATCCCAGGTAGCTGGGACCACAGGTGCCTGTCACCACGCCAAGCTAATTTTTTTGTATTTTTAGTAGAGATGGGGTTTCACCATGCTGGCCAGGCTGGTCTTGAACTCTTGGCCTCAAGTGATCTACCTGCCTCAGCCTCCCAAAACGCTGGGATTACAGACATGAGCCACCATGCCCAGCTGTGTTTTGCATTCTTAACCTGCAGGATGCTCATCTGTAACAAAGTCATTCTTTACTAAAATGGAACAGAAGTGGTTAGGCAGCTGCAAGCCCTCCATAGTGGACTTACCACGACAGCAACCCCCTCGTGCACCATTGAGGGGGAGGCATAGAGGCTGGTAGAATATTTCCCAACATACAGAGTGGGCCTAGGAGGAAAACAGATGTGTTCATTTCAGAGTCATTTAATTTCCAGATCCCACAGAAGGGAGAAATCATAGCCCCAAATACCACCCACGGTAATGGCCACTCTATAAAGTAGGAAACTGAGACTTGGCAAGTTTAAGTGACTCAGTGATAGGCTATTAACAGGTGGACGGAGAACAGAGGCCTGCTGAGTCTTAGACACACACACACACACTGTAACTTTTTTTTCCTGATTTTAAAATGAATATAACATAAAAATTTAGAAAATATAGAAAGTTAAAAAAAAAAATCTCTGGCATTCCTACCACCTAAGATAGATCCAAACTATACTTAACAGTGGCAGTCTCTTTCCTATCCCCACCTTTATTTGTGTTGGGAGAGGCGGGGGGCGGGGTCTTACCATGTTACCCAGGCTGGCCTCAAACTCCTGTGCTCAAACAATCCTCCCAACTCATCCTCTCAGCCTCCCCAGTAGCTGGAATTACAGATGTGTGCCACGGTGCCTGGCACCTCCCACCCATGATTTTTATGTAATATTTAAGAACTCTGAAGCGTCAAGGGGAGCCTCTCAGCTCCTGTATTCTGAGGTTTCTGAATGAAGCAGTTTTGGCTCTGGAGTCCTTGTGGCTTTGGAGACTGCCCTGCCTTTGGCCTATCGTGCAGGGCCTGCTACACTGTGACAGCACCAGAACACAAAGGCCACAGCCACCCTCTCCCTCCCTGAGCTCCCAACTCACGTCAGCTTGCTCTTGGCCTCTGTTTCCTTGGGGAATGGGTACTTCCACTTGGTGATGCGCCCCACCTCCCCAGACATGAAGGTCAGATAGCGCAGGGTCTCCACAGCGACATTGATGTGCATCACCTTCCTCAGACCCTCCCGCTGCCAGACATAGAAGGCCACCACAGGGGAGGCGTAGTTTTGGATCCATAGGACGTCCCCAGATTCACTGTCCACGGTCACCACCAGCCCATCACCATTGGACACAAAGTGGGACATCTCTGTACAGATCAAACAAACAAAGCACTTTGAATTTCACCCCATCCTGCAACCACATCCTCTTCTCTTGTGGCAGGCTACAGTCACTCAGTCAGAGGAAACAAGACTTCTGGAATATTCTCAGATCTCCTCTGAACAATTTCACTTGTTTCTAATGAACTTGCTTAGGGTCTACAATACCAAGACACTGAGAGCTGGCTGGCTTACAAACACAAGTTAGGATCACTCTCCCAAAGGCAATTTATTTGGTGATGTTCTTTACCATTCTATTCAATAAGTGAGAGTAAATATTGAGGAGAAAGGAACCAATGGAGATGTCTATTAATCTGGCATTTCATAGCAATAACCTGAAACTCATCGATCAAACTGAAACTCAGGGACAGCTGCAGTAGCTCATGGCTGTAAGCCCAAGATTGAGAGGCTGAGGTGGGAAGATCATTTGAGTCCAGGAGTTCAAGACCAACCTGGGCAACATGGTGAGACCCCCATCTCTACAAAATAAACAAACAAAAAATTAGCCAGGGAGTTGGGGAGTGGTGGTACAAGCCCGTGTTCCCAGCTACTCAGGAGGCTGAGTGGGAAGATCGCTTGAGGCTAGGAGTCTGAGACTGCAGTGAGCCATGATTGCCCCGCACTCATTCTGGGCAAGTGAGTGAGACCTTGTCTCAAAAAAAAAA